GACCTCAGCTTCTATTCCCCAGATCAGGGATGTAGCCAGGCAGGAAGTGGGAAGGATGTGCCCGGGATCCGGAGGGGTGGTAGCAGGGCTGAAGACTTGAGAGAGGGCATCCGGCTTCACGTTCTTGGAGCCAGGGCGATATGAAAGAAGAAAATTTAAACGGCTGAATAGCAGAGCCCACCTGGCCTGCCTGGAGTTGAGTTTTTTAGCGCTGCGAAGGTACGCAAGGTTCTTATGGTCGGTCCAAACCAAAAACGGCAGCTCTTGTGCTGCTAGCTCATCCTTGATAATGTTGGACAGCCCATTAAGAAAAGCGTCAAAGAGAGAGTCAGAATTCCACAAACTAAGTCCACCGCGTAGTCTGACACGCTGCGAGAGCCCAGCTCAGCGTGCACTAGAACCATCTAGTGCACGCTGCTGCTCTCGGTCTCTTCTGGCCAGAGCTTGGGCCTCTCTCATAGCTGCACGGTCCTCCGCCTCCAATGACGTCCGACATCTCCTGAGCTTTCAGTAGCCACCACCAGTCTCCGATCCTTCACCCTCTGGTTGGAGTTTCTTAGGACCCTTGAAAACTCTGTTGTGGTGGCCTGCTTTTGCACTTCCTCGTTTCTCTGCCCTGGACTCCGCTTCCTGACTCACACGTTGACGCTTCCATAGAAGACACACAATGCTGTTCTCATTTACGTCATTTATTTTAGTTTTACATTTGGTCGTTTCATTTGAACATGATTGACCGAGTGGACAACGTAAGGTCGAAAGACTGTGCCGATGTCCCGTCCAATACAAAAGCCAGCCCCGGTGCCTCAGTCCCACCCCTCCTCTTATCCGCTGATCCTCGTCAGGTGCCTCTAATGAAGTGAGTTATTTCAAATATGAACAAAAAAATACATTAAGTGAATACACATGATTCCTACCAATAAAACAAATAAATGATTTGTAACAAAACAGAAAATATGGCTTCAACAACAACAGTAGTGACTTCCTCCTGTTAAGCAGAGACAAAGACCATTCACTGTCTCATGCTGTTCAACACTTAAATCACTGTTATTCTTCCAAAAGTTGAGAAAATAATTCTCACAATATCAAAGTCATCCGGCGGGCGAGTTTGACTCCTATGGTACTTAAAGTGTCACTTTCTCTAATCCTGTATGTGGACCATCTAGCAGTACGAACACCTCTCTGCCCCCACGTCACCCGGCTACATTTGTTTTTAGAAAAGTCTGACAGTTGTAACGTTTTTACTCATTGTCATGTACGGTAGTCTAGTGCGCTTGCGCAGATACTTTCTGCTCAATGAAACTCATTATTTTTATTCATTTTATACACTTTACATCGAATAAAGACGAGATAAAATATAAGAGGATGTTTTTATTGATGATTTTTAGAAAGACACACAGAAAGCTAATAAACATTATTCACCATTCACTGTTACAGAACAGAATACCATTAAGTATTAAGAGAAAAGCCACACACATGGTTGTAAGAAGCGCACTAAGACTAATGAATAGCGGGTCGTCGTGGCGTAGGGGCAGAGAGGGTCCGCTAGGAACTGCAAGGTTGGTGGTTCAAGTCCCAGCTGCCCCATGTCCCAAGTTGAAGTGTCCTTGAGCAAGACACCTAACCCCTAATTGCTCCCCGGGCAAAAATGTAAAAAGCCATGGGTTAAAAATGTAATGTAAGCTTTGGATAAAAGCTTCAGCTAAATCACCTGTGATGTAATAATGAATACAGAGAAGATGATACAGCTTCATAGCTTCCTCTTCTGCCTCATGGCCACCATGTTAACATAGATGTCTTCTTCTTCAATGAAAAGCAGCAGAGACACGAGCAGACTTTACACGCTGGGGAGGGAAAAGCTAAAGCAAAGACATTCGCAAGTTACTTTGCGGTATTATTTCACTTAAATGTAACGTTTTGTTGTTTTCTTAACCTCCCACCACTTGGGAGCGTAATGACGCTGTAAATTAGGCCACAAGGTCGATATAATCAGCAGCATTACAGGAACAGGTGGTTGTTATTGTGAGGAGCAAACAGTTTGTAAGGACGTGCAAGAAGGTGCAAGTGTTGTTTGATGGTGTGTGATAACCAACGGAAAAGGTGTTATGATATATTATTAATTTAGAGAAGGAAAAGGTGGGTGAAGAAAAACAAAGTGATCTGTCTTCTGTTTGTATTTGGAGAAGAAATCAATTACCATCAAAGACAAACTGGACTTTTTCAAGGATTTTGTCAAGCGTTAAAACAAGCGAGCAGCAACTAAAAGCTTCTTTTGATGGTCAAAGGGGTCAAGTAGAATAAATGATTTGTCTTCTTAAAGCAAACAGTGCAATTTATAATCTCATTATTAGGAGATGAGGATATATCGCGACAATAATAATACACTATGAGCCTTTCAAAAGTCAGTGAGTAACAAGGAAGGAATTGTTATGTTTGACCTTCTGCCTCTTTGTAAATTTATTCGTATTATCATCATTATGAATATTGATAATGAATTATGCATTAATGCATTACAACATTCACAATGACACAAGCTGGTGTGTTTCTGCACACAATCATATTGTAGAAAAGGTTTTCTTACCACTCAAAGATGAGCAAAGTAGTGACGAGCAGAATGATTCCCAGGACCTTCACGATGACTTGAGCACCAACCAGTTGATCACCTGCAACACAACGACATGGTCACTTTTAAAATGTTATCACTCAAATCATAATTCCTGCAGCGACCTTCAAATACCAACAGACGTCCTGTCGATAGCTGAATGTGTAGCTCATTTCTGCATCCACAATAACATAATGTGCCTCCATCACTGCTGGTCACTTCACAGCCATGAAGACTTGATGATGATGAGAAAAGATCAGGGGTCTCTTTGTTAAAGCAGTGCGAAGGATCCCCTCTAAATATGTGCTCACGTTCGAAGGAGGAAATGCACACACTCCAAAACACATCCAGATGTGTAAAGCATCGCGTTGCCAGTGAGCCATTTCCTTTTAATAAAACCCAAATGAACCTGTGACGGTGCACGGCTGAACAAAAAGTTGCATCTCTAACAGAGTAACAAGTGTAATACAGTTCTGTGTTTACCTCCTATAGTCAGATGGATCTCTGATGATGTTTGATTACCAAGCTGATTGGTGGCCACACAGTAATAAACTCCTCCATCAGTGACATTGAAGCTGTAAAAGTCTCCTTCAGATACTTTGATTGGTGCATCTCTGCTGGTCTTGAACCAGGTGAAGCGGCTCACAGGAGGTTTGGCTCTGCTGGAGCAGGTCAGGTTCACCCGGCTACCTGCTGACACCCGACCTGATGGACTGATGGACACCGAGGTGTTCTTGGGAGCGTCTGAGGAACATGTGACATTAAAACTTCATGCCGCTGACATTGTGTGAACACATGAATCATCGTATGCTGACAGGATGAAAGAACAAACACTCACATGAAACACTGAGAGTCTTTCTCTCCTCTGACGTCTTTACATCTTTTCCTTCATTCACAGGATATCTGGCAGAACAGGTGATGATGAATCCATCATGTTCATGTGACAGAGTGATGCTCTTCTGGATTCTAGTTGTGAAGGTTCGATCTGTGTTTTCCTCCATCATGTGGTGAGAGTCTGGTTGGAGGTTCCAGGTGAGTTGAGGAGGAGAGTGTGAACAGGGAGTGGAAGCTGAGCAGCTTATAGAGACAGAATCCTTCTCCTTCACATCACCTGAGATCTCAATCCTGGGCTTTGGAGGAGAATCTGTGGTTTCAAATCAAATACAGATTGTACTCTGAAAAAAGAGCAACAAGACTTGAGTCTACAGTCTATGATAGGCACGTGCACAGACATTTTTGGGGGCAGGTGCTCAAACCAAAACAAAAGGGCACTTGTCGCCAATAACATTCAGGAATAAAAAAAAGATTAATAATAAAATAAATAAATAATAACACAGTAGGATATATTCCCTGTCCTCCTGTTTTTGGGGTCTTTCTTTTCTTGACATTATGCTCCATATTTTGTAAATGAGAAAAATCAATGTTTTACAATGTAAAACATTACATGTAAAATTTACATAATAAGAGTGACTTACATAATCCGGCACAACACCCACACATTTTTTTATTGTTTTCTTTTACAGTTGAAGCATAAGCATCATTATGATAATATACCACAATATACTGTAATGTAGCTCAACTTAAGATCTACCTTTTAATAATTCAATAAATTAAACAAAACTAGTGAACTAATTTGTAGAACAGTAATACTGCCTTTATATTCTAACCCTAAATCACGGATTTCATCTTTTTTTATTTTTTAGAAACGTCAGACCAGTTGCATCGTAATGCTTTCCGCACCGTGAATGTTGTGTTTAATTTATCATCTAACAACATCCGGGGTTTGGACCAACACCGCCTAACCCTAACCCTAACCCTAACCGCCATCACATTTGTCGATGCTGCAGCCGTTTGGGGCTCAACACTGCACGAGCACAAGGAGGAGGAGGAAGAAGAAGAAAAGGAGAAGGAGGAGAAGGAGGAAGAGGATTAGGAAGAAGAAGAAGAGAAGGAGGAGGAGGAGGGAGAGAAGGAGGAGGAGGCGGAAGAGGGGCGGGGCTTGTGAGCGCCTTGAAATACGTTGGGGCAAAATTCTCACAAAAACTCAAATAAATGCCGGTCAGATATCAAAATACATTTGGAGGGAATTGATGACGGAGGGAGAGTAATTTTTATTCTTAAATATTGATGAATGAAGAAAAAATTGGGCTCCAGCAGAAAGGGCACTTTACTCATCCAGGGCAAAAGGGCAGGTGCTTGAGCACCACTGGGGGTCTATCTGTGCACGTGCCTGTCACGGCTTGGGTTCAAGTGTTGTTTTATTTTGTAGTTTCATGCCTTTGGTGTTCCTGAGTTAACTTCACTTCCTGCCTTGTCCTGTCTCCCCTGTGATTGCCTGCCGCCTTATGATTGTTTCCACCTGTGTCCAATCACCTGCACTTTCCCAGTGTATTTAAGCCATGTCTGTGTGTTGTGCCTTGTCGCGTCATTGTTGAATGTCGGATGTAGTTTGCATGTTTGTGGGTCCTGTGGTGTCTTGTTCCCGCCTGCGTTTTTGCCTCTTGGCATCTGTTGATTTTGAATTTTTGACTATCAAAGTCTTTTAGTTTCCCAAAACTCTGCGTCTGAGTCCTGCCTTCCCCGCTTCGTGACAGTGCCTGGTCTATGATTAAGGTACCGCATTTTCCGCACTCCAAGGCGCACCTAAAAGCCTTTCATTTTCTCAAACGACAGTGCTTTATAATCCGGAGCGCCTTATATATGGATCAATTGGTTAATCGGTTGATCTATACCGGTTGGACACGGCGCTCAAGGCGCTCTGCCAAACATGCCAAAGCTCGGTCCACGACGCCGAGATGCTGAGCAGTGCTCAAGCGCATGAGATATGGAGCTTGTTTCAGGGCGCGTTGGAGAAACAAAGCTGTCGTTTTTGCCGAGCACTTCATGAGATTAAAGAGCGAGAGACTGCGCCCTTTTCTTTACAGTAGCTGAACCATCTTAACGGGGAAGATAAGTTATCCTAAAAGGGGCCCTTGGCAGACGGCGTGGCTGGAGAGTAGTAGTAAGATTTAAGGCGAGGGGGGCGGCGGAAGCGGACGCACCTCGCAGCATCGATCGGACCCTTAAAGCACCGCATCCACCCGCCCCGACGTCAAACGTATGACTGCAGTATCTTATGCGCTTTATAATCCGGTGCGCCCTATATATGAAAAATGTTCTAAAATAGGTAATTCATTGAAGGTGCGCCTTATTGTGCCGAAAATACGGTACTCTTCTACATTTGAGAGCTACATTATGTACTTTTGCAGATGCAGCATCTATCAGTCACTGTATAGAATAAACCATATATTCATGAATTAAGTTGTTTTTAGTCCCAAACACTTGATGGAAAATCAAATGCTACTTGGCTCAATATGCAAAGTATTAAAATATTTTTTAAATGACGAGGCCGTGTTCTGCAGTTATTCAACAGTTCACGTTATCGGATGATGACGAATCCATCAGCTGCTCCACAGATGACCAAGAGTGACTCGTACAGCAGAGAGTAGGAGAACTAAATATTAGATATTAAGCAACATTTAATTTTAGGTATAGATTGGTTAGATTATAACATCTGCTTTTAAAGTGGCTCGGCTTCTTTAGGAAGCAAACGCCATGAACATAATTGAGATCTTAGGTGTGTAGAAAACACTTTTTTGAAAAACTCTATGGAAACAAAATCCTGCATCCTTAATAGATAAACAATTGTAATACAGTTCTGTGTTTACCTTCTATAGTCAGATGGACCTCTGATGATGTTTGATCACCAAGCTGATTGGAGGCCACACAGTAATAAACTCCTCCATCAATGACATTGAAACTGTGAAAGTCTCCTTCAGATACTTTGATTGGTGCATCTCTGCTGGTCTTGAACCAGGTGAAGCGGCTCACAGGAGGTTTGGCTCTGCTGGAGCAGGTCAGGTTCACCCGGCTACCTGCTGACACCCAACATGATGGACTGATGGACGCCGAGGTGTTCTTGGGAGCATCTGAGGAACATGTGACATTAAAACGTTATGCAGCTGACATCGTGTGAACACATGAATCATCGTATGCTGACAGGATCAAAGAACAAACACTCACATGAAACACTGAGAGTCTTTCTCTCCTCTGACGTCTTTACATCTTTTCCTTCATTCACAGGATATCTGGCAGAACAGCTGATGATGAATCCATCATGTTCATGTGACAGAGTGATGCTCTTCTGGATTCTAGTTGTGAAGGTTCGATCTGTGTTTTCCTCTATCATGTGGTGAGAGTCTGGTTGGAGGTTCCAGGTGAGTTGAGGAGGAGAGTGTGGACAGGGAGTGGAAGCTGAGCAGCTTATAGAGACAGACTCCTTCTCCTTCACATCACCTGAGATCTCAATCCTGGGCTTTGGAGGAGAATCTGTGGTTCCAAATCAAATACAGATTGTACACTGAAAAAAGAGCAACAAGACTTGAGTCTACGGTTTGTGATGAAAGTACTCTTCTACATTTGAGAGCAAAATGTTTTACTTTTACTCCACTATCAGATCATTAATTGTTTTTCTTTATTAAATAATGTGTTTGTTTGAGGCTTCTAGTTAATTTTCTGATGTTTCTGAATGTCAGCAGATTCATCAATATTTTCCCTCTGAACTTTTCACATTGCTTCATTTAATAATTCCACTACTTGATAATGAAGTAAAGATTCCAAAAAAACAACTTTTGAAACTTTTTAAAGCATTATATGCGTAGAGTGGCACGTACAGGCACCTTTCTAATGGGATTATTAATAGTAGTGAATAAATCCCTTAAGTGCAAACATTTAATTCCCTGGTTGAAATATGTAAGTATTTACATTCAAGTTAGTTTCTAAATAATAACAGCATAGATTGTCTTATGAAAAACCAAATTCTCTTACCTTTAACTGTTATTTCAAGATAATCACAATCAGCCGTTGCTAGAAATGGACGGTTCTCAACCCTGAAGAAGAATCGGTGTGTGTATGTTGTCTTCAAATTGGAAAATAAAGTGGTGCAGATTTTCTGACTCAAGTCTCCAGTAAAACTCATCGGATACGTGGAAACTGTCCCACTACTGTTGAAAACCACATTATTTGGATTGTTAAAAAAGTCCGAACTTTTTATCATCCACACTCCAAAGGTTGTTGTTGCGCTGTTGATTTTCTCTCCTGATTTAATGCTGAAGTTACATGGAATTTGTAAACAAGATCCCGTCAGTGCTTCCATCTCTTTTGGTGCAGTGATGAATAGATCTGAATGCACATCACAAGTAGCAGAATCACCTGTGAAACAAACTAATGATTAACAGTGGTGATTAAAATGTGTAAAAACACATTAACATGAACACAAAGAGAAATATACTTCAGCAGTAATGTTTTGTGTTGTGTTATTTTTTTCCCTGAACAGTTTTTGTGTTGATTCATCTTTTTGGTTTTACAACTTTCCCCCACAAGGCCGAGCCCAGTGGGACCAAACCCGTCTCTGTCTCCAAATAACTACGTCACTTTTGTCTCCGTGATAAAAGAGCTCAGCAGGAAAACACAGATTGTAACATTCACATGAATTTAGGTTGAAATGATATTTTCCAAACAGTAAATGATTGAAGTGAAACACAAGTGAGTGAAGATGAAGCTCACCTGAGAGGAAGAAGACACTGTGCAACACGATGGCTGTCACCATCCTAACAGACTGGTCGGCCATGACACTCACCACCTGATTCACAAACACAACATCAGTGTCACTGCTCATATCCGTGAGTCTATATCATCTTTATGTATCACACACATCACAATAATAATAATGTAGCATTAACAGTCAGTGACTTGAGTTTAGTCACTGTGAATAACTCTGAGTCTCTGTTGCTCTGCATTACAGGACTGATGAACCTCACACACTTATTGTGTTAGTAACGTTTATAAAACGGGTAGATGAAATCCAGCGTTCTGGTTGGTTGACAGTGAGTCACGAGGGTACATTATTGATCTATGATGTACAGTTGCTGTTCACATTGACCCGAGTGTTCCGTATCACTGCGCAGTCAAAGTAGCAGGTTAGATTTTGCTCGACTGTTAGTTGATATTTTAGCTTTCAGTTCGGTGATGATCGTCGAAAAAAACACAAATGATCGTTTTCGGGCAACGCGAGCTTTAGCAACCGGACAATTAAGGTGAACGTCATGATGTGAATGAATGAGATGGCGCGGGACGTCCCGCTGCTCGTCGGGCCCAACAACACCCCCGAACTGTTATTGAGACGATAAAGTACAGCCTCTCGTACCTTATTGCTTTAATAAACTTTAAATAAATGGCCGATGGTCAAAACATTTCCTCATTCATAGTTTCTACTTCCTCTTCATCTCTAATGTCTATTAAACTTCTCTCTGCATTGATACATCAGGCAATCAGTAAAATTGTTGGTGAATAATTAGAATTAAATCTCTCGTAACAATGATATTTTAGTAATAAAAGACAGTTTCCTCTTTTTGCTGTGCTACTAAAATGAAGAATTGAAGGTGACATTAACTTACATTGAGTGAGTGTTTCTTCTTCAGTGCAGTCTGCTGTCTGACAAGTTCAATGCAGAAGTCACAGGTCTTTGAACCAAGATGGTCTGTGAGAGGAAGGAGGAGGAACTGGGAGGTGGAGACAAATATCACTGCTGGTGTTCCTTCAAATGGCAAATAAAATATAATTCACACACACTTGCATTGTACTAAAACTACAAAACTCAAAAAATTCACCAGCCAATGATTAAATAAAATTGTATAAATTTAATTGAAGAAATGGATTTAAATCACCAAGCTGATTGGTGGCCACACATAATAAACTCCTCCATCAGAGACATTGAAGCTGCAAAAGTCTCCTTCAGATACTTTGATTGTTTCATCTCTGCTGGTCTTGAAGCAGGTGAAGCGGCTCACAGGAGGTTTGACTCTTTTCCTTCATTCACAGGATATCTGGCAGAACAGGTGATGTAAACATTGTACTTTTACTGAATGTCAGCAGATTCATCAACATTTCCTCTTTGAACTTCTCACATGTAGTAATGTGAAGCAAAGATTAGAGAAAAGTCCCAAATATGAGCTCATCTGTGCAGCAGAATATTTTTTCTCTTTTCTTTTTCCACCAATCACCTCACGACTCGTCATATTTCATAGAATTTTCACTAACTAATGTTGTGAAAAAACTGTTGGTAAATAGTGCACAAGAGTTTTGTAACTTCCTTTTTTTCAAGTGTTGCAGTGTTTTCAGAATACAAATGTTATGTACAGGCAGCTTTCCCACGGGATTATTAATAGTAGTGAACTAAAAAATTCATTCATATCCAGGAAACATTTCATTCCCTGGTTGGTGTCTGTAGATTACATTACATTACATTTCATTTAGCAGACGCTTTTATCCAAAGCGACTTACATTACACTTTTCACATTTTGCCCGGGGAGCAATTAGGGGTTCGGTGTCTTGCTCAGGGACACTTCGACTTGAGACATGGGGCAGCCGGGATTCGAACTACCAACCTTGCGGTTCCCAGCACACCCTCTCTACCCCCTGCGCCTCGACAACCCCCACGAGATATTTATATCCACATTAAAAGTTAACTTCTACTTGTTTCTGTTTTCATTCTAAATGATGACAAAATTCTTCTCCTGGTTTAAATCTGAAGTTACACTGAATTTGCAAACAAGATCCCGTCAGTGCTTCCATCTCTTTTGGTGCAGTGATGAATAGAATGAATTGAATCCTCTCACCGGGATCCCCGTTGCCGGCCAAGCGCCCGCGTTCTTCTGTTCAGCATTAAGAGACTTTTTGTTAGTGAGATCTACCTGAGTTCCATGTTTGCCTCGGACATCCTGAGTTCATTAAAACAGATTTTACCTTCCCTTGCGTTTGCTTCCTCTCTCCTTCACAACCACAACAGAAACTAAGTAGACACTCAGGAACAGGCTGTCTGTCCCCATTCTCACAGCCTGGACCTCCATGACACTCAACATCTGGATTTTGTTGAAACGTTGTGTTCTTTTGAAGAAAATTCACTATATAAATTCACACATTAACATGCTGTGTATTTGTTGTGTTTAAGTTTACTCAACATGAGAACCTTGATTTACATCCCGCAAACACAAATACAAAACCTTTCATTTCAGTGCAGATTATAAAACAAACAAGAGGTGAATTAACACAACCTGTAGGAGCCATATTGAGGTGTATATGATGTTTCTTTCTTGTGAATAGTAGTGAGTAATATGGCCACAGGTCTGTTTACTCCACCTAGAGGACGGTTGGGAGGCTGAAGTTGGAGCCCAAGGAAAAGCTTTAAAGACAGGAAGACACAGCAGTGGGTTTGTCCTGAGAGGGAAACAGTCTTTTGACCGTGTGGTGGAGAGACGTGAGGGACATGACGTGACAAGCCGTCTCCCACCATATAAGAGCTGCTTCAATTTAATTGTTTCTTATTTTCACCTCATGTTTTTGGTTTGTACATTCTTTATACATTAAGAATAATAAATGGTCATTGCACCGAACCGGATCAACTTCTACTCCTCATCTTTACAAACTGCACGCGTCAAGATATATGCAGCTCAGCCACCGGTAGAAGCTGATCAGGGAGTAAAGGGACGAACGGAAAAGGCTTCTACAGAACCAGTTAAACGCTTTGCCTCATCAAATAGGCCCACAGCAAAAAGGAGAAACAGAGACGTCTTCAGATCGTAGAGAAGTGCTACAATTGAGGAACTTTCAGGAACGTGTTTGAGCAAGATAACAAACTCTATATTTAACCACATAAAGAAGGTTTGAAACCTAATGAAGTGTTAGATGTCACATGATCTGAACTTCTCAGAAAAGCAAGCAGTCACATGCTTACTGCTCATATCCGTAGCTACATGGACCTGCAATGCATTGTGGTCCACCGTCCCCTGATGGTGCAGACACTGTTGGCTATGCTGTTTGATTGCTTTCCTTCATCCTGAGACTTGAGCAAAGTTTAGTTGTAAATAATGTACCTTCCTCCTCAAGTAGCTCACCGTCACTGGTTTAGTGACATCAGTTGTACAGATGACCACCTTAATGTCCTTTGGACGGTCTGGAAGATTCGGCTTAACGGGAGACTTTGCACTAATGAGAAAACAATTAGAATTTCATTTTCATTTTGGTCGTCTTGTACTGAATAAAATGTCCTCCTGAGAATGATTATTGATGCGTTATTAACTGGACTCCTGCTCTTGTGCATTTATATTTATTTCAATAATTGTCTTGTTTTGTAATTTCAGAAACAACAGTTATGACATGAACTGTTCTGTAAGATTACCTCAAATATGAAACCATATTCCCTCCAGGCTTACAGGAGGATGTGCGCTTTTTTCCTATTTACGCATTAATTAATTATTCTTTATGGTCCTTCTTGTTAAAATCATGCTCTTGCTTCTACAAAGTGTAGATGTTGTGTGTTATTTTTACTTTGAGTGAGATAATGGTGCTCATCAATAATCTGCATGCACCTGTGAGCTGTGAGCTGTGTGTGTGTGTGTGTGTGTGTGTGTGTGTGTGTGTGTGTGTGTGTGTGTGTGTGTGCAAGAGTACGGCCTAAAAAAACATACACAGAAATGTGCCGGGCAGAATAATTATACTAATAATGTATTTTGAAAAAGGCTAACAACACATTGGTAAAAAAATGTATTTATTTAACAACAGAAAACACAATTTGATAAAAAAAAAAAATCTAACTGATTTCTACATCACTTCCTCCTACATCACTTGTAGCTCTACGTTCATGTTAATACTCTTTATTTAGTTGGTGTCGCTTATGTTGAATAGTTACTTCCCCAAAAGAATCAAGGAGTCTTTGGTAAAGTCAACTTCCCCTTCTTAAATTCACGGCGTCGCTTCTGTCTTCTGCTTCTTCTTCGCTGATCCTTTACGGTTCCTATAAAGTTAAAAAGAATAGAACGAATAAGTTCAACACCCAGAAGGTAACGAAACATGTACAAGACCAACGTGCTGTAAAAATGTGAAAACAAACGATGGAGATGGAGTCCTCATCATTTTGAAAACACACAGCTGCTCTGTCGTCGTTCTAAATGTACCTTTCACTCAGACAATCATTTTAACATGCGTTGGCACCATTTTATTTTACATCGGGACGGGCTTGACACTGCTGCACACATTAACCCAGAGAATGGAGAAAGGAACTGCACTTTAAAATGGACTTCTTCATTTTAAATCTCTACCAGACGGCGTAGTCGATTAAATAAAAGCTATTTGTAACTACTGCAAACTGGAATGATCTTATCACCGGAGTACTACGAGCCTGAAGTACATCTTCATGGAGTCACACGGCATCGACTGCACCCGGGTTGGTAAGCGATGCCGTTCATCAATGGAGAGGCCTTTTTTATTACCTGCCTCAGTGGCTCCATCTGGTGACCGAACCTGGAATCCCTCAATCACCTAATCAGACTCAAACCTCATCAATATCACATTACATTCAATGATTGATTACACCTTTGACCTAAAGCTTCAATTAAACATATGGCATGCATCATATCATTATTATCTAAATTTTAATACACTCTATTCATAACATAATATTTCAATTGTTTTATGTAGTCCACAATCAAACAGGGAGCTACTATCTGTCACCTTCAACCCCCAAACCAAAAAAAACCTTTGTGGATAAAAATAAGGAAGAAAGCTCACTGTAGAACCCTTTGGTTACACTTTCTTACAGTTTGTGTCTCAGAAGTAGAGCAACACCCGAGCAGCCTGCATTAAACGTGTTCACTAATGGACGTTGTAGGCGTCCATTTGCTGTACGAGTCTTTTAATTGGCAACACAGAGTCTTCATTGGAGCTTCTGTCACAGGGGCGTTGTGACGGTTCCCTGCTGTATTACTTGTGCGCCTGAGTCGTTTATGTTTGGCTACCTTTTGAAAGAATTAAGATAATGGTAACAATGAAAATTGTGCATTATTTGCATGTAATTGTTATTCTTAAACCCCCCTGTTCTATGAGGTCTGAAGCCACGGCGGCTGCTGAGCATCAAGGTACTGAAGCGCACATCTGACCTTCATGTGGTCTGGGTAGCGATGTGGATGTGGGGGCCTGTTCGAGGTACCAGGTCTTTCTGGCAGAAGGAGACGGAGGAGTTGAGCAAGTTCTCCCAGCAAGTTTACATACTGAGATGTCTTGAGAGGTCGGCATCGTGAGGCGTGGGTGCAGAAAATAAAGATGACAAACAATGCTTCGAAAACTCAGTCTTGTATTCATCTTACGTTATCAAAAAGGTGAACTTTATTCTGACAAGAAAAAGTCACAAAAGTGGTGTCCCCGTTAAGGAAGATGTCCTCAGGGTGCAAATCACCCTTGCTGAGACATGTGGTCTCTCACAGGCGACAGACCCACATGGTCCTCACCAAAGCCCAGGCTCTCAGCCTGGTGATTAAGGTGAGGATCGATGGGTTTGACTACGTTATGTTGCCACATCGGATGACGGGAGGTGTTTCCGATGTGTTGGAGAGGGACACCTGGCGAGGGTGTGTCCGGAGAAGAACCCCTCCACTTGGGACCAGAACCGGAGGGAGGCCAGGGAGGAAGAGGGGGAAGGTGAGGACCGGCGGGTCGGTGTGGTGGGAGAGGAGATGGGGAAGGTCCACAGGGTGGGTGAGGGGGTGAGTGTGGCGGTGGGTGAGGGGGAGAGTGAGTGAGTGAGGGGACGGGTGAGGCCCAGCCAGTCGGTGAGGGGGTGAGTGAGGGAGTGAGTGTGGGGGTGAGTGAGGGGACGGGTGAGGCCCAGCCGGTTGGTCAGGGGGGTGAGGGAATGAATGTCGGAGTGGATGGGGGGTTGAGTGTATATGGAGATGGATGAGGGGGGGGTCTTTAAGGTCCCCCACCTGAAGAGGAAGACGAGGGCCAGCAGGGGAGGCTCTCAGGCAATGAGGGGGGGGCGGCGAGCAGAGGGGAGGTGGGAAGTGGGGAGTCAGAGTCCTCTTCGGGATGGGGCTCTACCGTCAGCATCTCCTCGGGTGGGACGGTCACCAGCAGGTACGGGGTGGGGCAGGTAGAGGGGTTTCTGCAGGCCACCAAGAACGAGAGAAGAGTGAAGCTGGAGGAATACTTATAAAGTACATTACATATGAAGTTATCTGACTCTAAAGCCTGATTTGTCTTAGTTGTTCACACCTGCCTGAGTCGCTTATGTTTGGTCACAATTTGAATGTAATTTGCATGTAATTGTTATTCTTATCAAGGTACCAAAGCACACATCTGACCTTCATGTGGTCTGGGCAGCGATGTGGATGTGGGGGCCTGTTGCAGGTACCCAGGTGTTTCTGGCAGAAGGAGACGGAGGAGTTGAGCAAGTTCTCCCAGCAAGTTGGAGCCGATCTACCTGCTCAGGTGGAGGCGGAGCTTAAGGCGCTGGAGGAGCGAGTGCACAAGTAGAAGCCCAAAGACAGGAAGTTCAACCGGAAACATGGCGGTGGTCGCTGAGGACTCAGAATGCAGATAGTTAAGGTGCCTTCAGGAGTCACTGGCTGGGTTTACATACTGTGATGTCTTGAGAAGTCGGAATCATGAGGCATGGGTGAAAAAATAAAGACGACAATGCTTCGAAAACTCAAAGTCTTGTATTCATCTTACGTTATGAAACAGGTGAACTCAATTCCGACAAAAAAAAGTCCTTACAAAAAATTATGAATCCCTTTGTTTTACTCCTCGTTCCTCCTCTGTAACGTGACGTCACCTCCTTATCTTCCCACGACTCCTTTTCTGCTCTTTCAGCGTCATCATTTGCAGCTGGGCAGCAGCTTTGGGCCCGTCTGCCCTGCTGACTCTGGGAATTGGAGTGTTTTATTCCCCCGATGCCCTGGTGGGTTGTAGTCCCTGCTCCAACCACTGGGCGGGGATGTACCTCCCATTGATGACCAACCCTCTCCTGACATCACAATACACAGAAGCCTAATCACACTTTATTGGTTATATTCATGTAAACATGAATCCATATACAAGTCCTGTCCAGTCCTTAAGTCCTGAGGACCAGGTTGAGATTTGTCTTAGAAACATCACGCTCCCATTTGGTTTTCACAACATAGTTCGTTGTGAAGGTTTTAGAGAGTTCTAGTACTCGCTGCTCAGTCAAAGATAATCATCCATCCATCGTCAAACCGCTTATCCTGCACACAGGGTCGCGGGGGGGCTGGAGTCCATCCCAGCCAACTTCGGGCGATAGACAGGGTAAACCCTGGATTGGTCGCCAGCCAATCGCAGGGCTACACAGACACATACAACAATTCACACATCTACGGGCAATTTAAAGTCCCCAATTAACCTGATCCCCAGAGCATGTCTTTGGACTGTGGGAGGAAGCCGGAGAACCCGGAGAGAACCCACGCAGACACGGGGAGAACATACAGACTCCACACAGAAAGGCCACTGGGCGGAATCGAACCCAGGACCTTCTTGCTGTGAGGCAACAGTGCTAACACATCATTTTTAATGTGGGTCCCCGACTGCCCTCCTGGAGCAATTTGTCAAATTTAGAAGTCACTTAGGACAGAGTACAACAAACAAAACTGCTTTTTACTAAACTTCTGTATGACATGACAACATGGAATAGAGCCACATATAAAACAACAATAGTGACTTCCTCCTGTTAAGCAGAGACAAAGAACATTCACATCTGTCTCATGCTGTTCAACACTTACATCATCGTTATTCTTCCAAAAGTTGAGAAAATAATGGACTCACTCGAGCGCCTGTGTGCACGGATCCATACATGTGTGATGTTGACTCACCGCAGCTTCTGTCTCCCTCTAAAAGACGAATCGATATAAAAGAAGCAGAAGCGACCGCGCATGCGTGAGGACCGTTCTGTAATTCTCACAGTAGCAAAGTCATCCGGCGGCGGGCCGCGAGTTTGACTCCTATGGTACTTAAAGTGTCACTTTCCCTAATCCTGTATGTGGACCATCTGGCAGTACGAACACCTCTCTGCCCCCACGTCACCCGGCTACATTTGTTTCTAGAAAAGTTAGACAGTTTTTACTCATTGTCATGTACGGTAGTCTAGTCCCTCCCCCAGCTGTAGGTGTTTAAGGCACCTAATTGAGGCCGGGCTGAGGGAGTATAAAGACCAACACCTGGCTGGAAGGAAGGAAGGAAGGGTGGAAGGAGAGAGCAGACTGGTAACATGTCCTTCGTGGAGGAGCCCGGAACAAGGAAAAGCCTAAGAAGTTGATTTTTTTTCTTTCTCCTTGGGGACACTTTTTGAGAATACAACATTATTAGTAAACCATCTAATTTTGCCTGTTTGCTGGTCCTGCTCCCCCCCAGCTACCTCTTGTGACAACGTGGTTACATGGATTTGAATAACTGGCTTAGTCAGACTGAAATCGAATGATCTGTTTCATGTAAACACCTTTGTCCGACTATGTGCGGTCCGGCTACGATCCGACTAACACCCCTGGATAACTCGATTCGATCCCGTTGGTAGTTTGACTATTGCGGCATGTAACGGTGAATCGGATGAGGAACTGGACTTCGCGTCTTTGCGCATGCTTGAGATCCCGACGGCGTCTTCTCTCCGTTATCAAATCAGCCAATAGCGCCATTCGCATTCGCTGTGCTCCTATTAACATCATGCAAAGATAGTAGAGGGATGTAGCGTCACCTTGCTCTCCGTTCGCCATCTTTCTCGTAATGTTGTTGTTGTTGTTGTTGGTTGTTGTTGGCAGTGGTGAAGCGGTCAAGCGGAAATGGCTGTATCACAACTAGTTGTAATGAAAACAGCGCCACCTATCGTATCGGATATGACATGATTTCGGCCAATGATTCAATTTATTCACTGCCATGTATATTGGGATAATAGCACCTCCCCCCGAAAGATAGCATAGTCCGACTAAGCAAAGATTCGAATTATACCATCATGTAAACACACTGTGTGTAGAAAACACTTTTTTAAAAATCTCTGAGGAAACAGAAAGCTATTGACATACAGGGTAGTCTAGTGTGAGACACACAGTGATCCATTACACCAGTGCAGCTAACTAAGAAACTCTATTGCATTTATTTACACTCAACATTTTTCATAGTGTATTTTAGCACAAGATATTTTATTATACTAGTGACTCTAATGTTTGTGATTTAAGTTTTTCAAAAGTTTGCAGACAATACGTGAAATTATGGACCAATAAATGCATCTGAGATATATGGTTTTTATTACCTTGTTATTAATACATATCTTGAAATGCAGTAAATTATTGTCTTTTGAAGAAGAAATAGTACAATAAAACGTGGTTAATGCAGAAGATGTAAAAAAAAAAACCTTAATAAATAAGGTTTAAAGAAGCCTTTTAAAAAATGCAACACAGAAAAAGTTAAAATCCTGTTATAAAACATGATGATATATGAAAAGCTTCTTCTTTTAGAATACTTCTCTATTTAGAGCCGTGGGACTTTTATTTGTACCGATCTGATAAACACAAACCTTATGGTGTCAAAAGTATGAAGAAATTACCTGAGCTACAGGATGTGGATCTTTGAAGTTCCTCTTTAATTAACTGAGCAGTGAAGATTACATTTTCTCACGATTCTTTTTCTCCATAAACTGACAGATGAAGCTTGTTATTTGTGTAAAAAGCATCTTAACAATAAAGCCCAAATGTGACCACAAGAAACGGCTCATTTTCTCTTCACTTGAGCGTAGAGATCCTCTGGGACGTTAGCAGTCCGTGTGACGTTGTCTGCTGCCTTGGACACTTTGACCTGCGCATACAGCGTGTCCTCCTGCTGTCCACCGTCCTGCTCCGAGACCGAGGACGGTCCAGATCTGAGCCCCGAGAAGTTAATCTCTCCATAGTGGACGCCTCCTTCTTCTGTTGTCACTGTCTCTCCAACAGGCTGATTCTGCAGGAAAGAATAAATGAAGCAAACAGGAAGTGATTGTGGAAGCAGCTTGATTCCAAATAACAAAACCACACCGAGTTGTTTGGTGTGTTCTCACCTGACTCTGATGTGCAGTTGGATGTGGAGACTTCAAACGCCTGCAAGACAAAATGTTGGGTCTAATACACAGAATACCAAAAAAAGACCACATGTCCTTGGAGACACATTCTTAAATGATGCTACTGACCAAACAAAGACAACCAGGCCGATGAGCACGATAATCCCAATGATTCCTCCAAGAACTGCACCCAATAGTAGATAATTAACTCCACCTCAAGACAAGATGAAAAAAACAACAGTGACTAAATGAAGACACTATGGTAAAGTAACAATATTGATTGCTGAAGTACCTTTATTAGTTACCTTCTATAGTCAGATGGATCTCTGAGGATGTTTGATCACCAAGCTGATTGGTGGCCACACAGTAATAAACTCCTCCATCAGTGACATTGAAGCTGTAAAAGTCTCCTTCAGATACTTTGATTGGTGCATCTCTGCTGGTCTTGAACCAGGTGAAGCGGCTCACAGGAGGTTTGGCTCTGCTGGAGCAGGTCAGGTTCACCCGGCTACCTGCTGACACCCAACCTGATGGACTGATGGACACTGAGGTGTTCTTGGGAGCGTCTGAGGAAAATGTGACAATAAACTTTATGCAGCTGACATCGTGTGAACACATGAATCATCGTATGCTGACAGGATCAAAGAACAAACACTCACATGAAACACCGAGAGTCTTTCTCTCCTCTGACGTCTTTACATCTTTTCCTTCATTCACAGGATATCTGGCAGAACAGCTGATGATGAATCCATCATGTTCATGTGACAGAGTGATGCTCTTCTGGATTCTAGTTGTGAAGGTTCGATCTGTGTTTTCCTCCATCATGTGGTGAGAGTCTGGTTGGAGGTTCCAGGTGAGTTGAGGAGGAGAGTGTGGACAGGGAGTGGAAGCTGAGCAGCTTATAGAGACAGACTCCTTCTCCTTCACATCACCTGGGATCTCAATCCTGGGCTTTGGAGGAGAATCTGTGGTTTCAAATCAAACACAGATTGTACACTGAAAAAAGAGCAACAAGACTTGAGTCTACAGTCTGTGATCAAAGTACTCTTCTACATTTGAGAGCATTTTTTCTTAACTTTTAACCTGAGTAATATATATATATATATATATATATATATATATATATATTACTCAGGGCGGCACGGTGGCGTGGTGGTTAGCACTGTTGCCTCACAGCAAGAAGGTCCTGGGTTTGATTCCGCCCAGTGGCCTTTCTGTGTGGAGTCTGCATGTTCTCTGCGTGGGTTCTCTCCGGGTTCTCTGGCTTCCTCCCACAGTCCAAAGACATGCTCTGGGGATCAGGTTTATTGGGGACTTTAAATTGCCCGTAGATGTGTGAATGTGAGTGTGAATGGTTGTATGTCTCTGTGTAGCTCTGCGATTGGCTAGCGACCAATCCAGGATGTACCCTGTCTATCGCCAGAAGTTGGCTGGGATGGACTCCACCCCCCCCCGCGACCCTGTGTGCAGGATAAGCGGTTTGACGATGGATGGATATATTACTCAAATGTGCCGCGGAACCTTTTCTCTTTTCTTTTCCCACCAATCACCTCATGACCCCTCAGATTGAACTTGTGACCCTTTATAGGCAAAAATAAAATGTTAACTTGCTAATTAATGTTGTCAAAAGGCTGATGGTAAACAGTCAAAACATTGTTTAAAACTTTTAAAACTTCGTTTTTCCAGCATTAGTGCAAAGGTCGGCATGTTCAGGAAGCTTTCTCATGGGATTCTTAATAGTAGTAAACAAAAACATAAATTCATATCCAGGAAATGTAAACATTTCAATCCCTGGTTGGTGTCTGTAGATATTTATATTCACATTAAAAGTTTGAATAAAACAGAAACAAGTAGATGCTAAGTAATAACATCTCAGATTGTTTTATGAAAAACAAAAGTCTCTTACCATTAACTGTTATTTGAAGAACATCACAAACAGCTGTTGCTAGAAATGGCCGGTTCTCAACCCTGAAGTAGTATGTGTCTGTGTATGTTGTTTTTAAACTGGAAAATAAAGTGGTGCAGTTTTTCTGACTCAAGTCTCCAGTAAAACTCATCGGATATGTGGAAACTGTCCCACTACTGTTGAAAACCACATTATTTGGATGTTGGCCAAAGTTATTTATAATCCACACTCCAAAGGTTGTTGTTGTGCTGTTGAATTCCAGTCCTTGTTTAACACTGAAGTTACATGGAATTTGCAAACAAGATCCAGTCAGTGCTTCCATCTCTTTTGGTGCGGTGATGAATAGACCTGAATCCTCAGAACAATCAGCAGAAGCACCTGTGAAACAAACTAATGATTAACAGTGGTGATTAAAATGTGTAAAAACACAACGATAACATGAACACAAAGAGAAATATACTTCAGCTGTAATGTTTTGTGTTGTGTTCTTTTTTTCCCTCAACAGTTTTTGTGTTGATTCATCTTTTTGGTTTTACAACTTTCCCCCACAAGGCCGAGCCCAGTGGGACCAAACCCGTCTCTGTCTCCAAATAACTACGTCACTTTTGTCTCCGTGATAAAAGAGCTCAGCAGGAAAACACAGATTGTAACATTCACATGAATTTAGGTTGAAATGATATTTTCCAAACAGTAAATGATTGAAGTGAAACACAAGTGAGTGAAGATGAAGCTCACCTGAGAGGAAGAAGACACTGTGCAACACGATGGCTGTCACCATCCTAACAGACTGGTCGGCCATGACACTCACCACCTGATTCACAAACACAACATCAGTGTTCTAGGAAGCGTTCAACATGCTGTGTGCAACCACAAGTTCCTGTGTGTGAAGAGACCACAGCTCACAAGTCGGTGGACGAGTACGACTCTGAGTGTTGGATGAGAATAAAACTATGAATGTCTCCCTCTTACCAAAGAAGCCCACGTCCATAACAGAGGGACAATTAGATCAAGTGCAGGTCTTTGTTTTAGCAGAGTTCTCCCCTTAACTGCTCATATCCGTGAGTCTATATCATCTTTATGTATCACACACATCACAATAATAATAATGTAGCATTAACAGTCAGTGGCTTGAGTTTAGTCACTGTGAATAACTCTGAGTCTCTGTTGCTCTGCATTACAGGACTGATGAACCTCACACAGTTATTGTGTTATTAACATTTATAAAACGGGTAGATGAAATCCAGCGTTCTGGTTGGTTGACAGTGAGTCACGAGGGTAAATTATTGATCTATAATGAACAGTTGCTGTTCACATTGACCCGAGTGTTCCGTATCACTGCGCAGTCAAAGTAGCAGGTTAGATTTTGCTCGACTGTTAGTTGATATTTTAGCTTTCAGTTCGGTGGTGATCGCCGAAAAAATCCTGTAAATCCCATAAATGATCGTTTTCGGGCAACGCGAGCTTTAGCAACCGGACAATTACGGTGAACGTCATGATGTGAATGAATGAGATGGCGCGGGACGTCCCGCTGCTCGTCGGGCCCAACAACACCCCCGAACTGTTATTGGACGATAAAGCACAGCCTCTCGTACCTTATTGCTTTTAATAAACTTTAAATAAATGGCCGATGGTCAAAACATTTCCTCATTCATAGTTTCTACTTCCTCTTCATCTCTAATGTCTATTAAACTTCTCTCTGCATTGATACATCAGGCAATCAGTAAAATTGTTGGTGAATAATTAGAGTTAAATCTCTCGTAACAATGATATTTTAGTAATAAGAGACAGTTTCCTCTTTTTGCTGTGCTACTAAAATGAAGTATTGAAGGTGACATTAACTTACATTGAGTGAGTGTTTCTTCTTCAGTGCAGTCTGCTGTCCGACAAGTTCAATGCAGAAGTCACAGGTCTTTGAACCAAGATGGTCTGTGAGAGGAAGGAGGAGGAACTGGGAGGTGGAGACAAATATCACTGCTGGTGTTCCTGCAAATGGCAAATAAAATAGAATTCACACACACTTGCATTGTACTAAAACTACAAAACTCAAAAAATTCACCAGCCAATGATTAAATAAAATTGTATAAATTTAATTGAAGAAATGGATTTAAATCACCAAGCTGATTGGTGTTCACACAGTAATAAACTCCTCCATCAGAGACATTAAAGCTGTAAAAGTCTCCTTCAGATACTTTGATTGTTTCATCTCTGCTGGTCTTGAAGCAGGTGAAGCGGCTCACAGGAGGGTTGACTCTTTTCCTTCATTCACAGGATATCTGGCAGAACAGGTGATGTAAACATTGTACATTTACTGAATGTCAGCAGATTCATCAAGATTTCCTCTTTGAACTTCTCACATGTCTTCGTTTAATAATTATACTACTTCATAATGAAGCAAATATTAGAGAAAAGTCCCAAATATGAACTCGTATGTGCAGCAGAATATTTTTTCTCTTTTCTTTTCCCACCAATCAACACACGACTCGTCATATTGCATAGAATTTTCACTAACTAATGTTGTGAAAACACTGATGGTAAAGTGTTGCAGTGTTTTCAGAATGCAAATGTCATGTACAGGCAGCTTTCCCACGGAATTATTAATACTAGTGAATTAAAAAATTCATTCATATCCAGGAAGTGTAAAGGTTTTCCTTCCGTGGTTGGTGTCTGTAGATATTTATATTCACATTAAAAGTTAACTTCTACTTGTTTCTGTTTTCATTCTAAATGATGACAAAATTCTTCTCCTGGTTAAAATCTGAAGTTACACTGAATTTGCAAACAAGATCCCGTCAGTGTTTTCATCTCTTTTGGTGCAGTGATGAATAGAATGAATTGAATCCTCTCACCGGGATCCCCGTTGCCGGCCAAGCGCCCGCGTTCTTCTGTTCAGCATTAAGAGACTTTTTGTTAGTGAGATCTACCTGAGTTCCATGTTTGCCTCGGACATCCTGAGTTCATTAAAACAGATTTTACCTTCCCTTGCGTTTGCGTCCTCTCTCCTTCACATCCACAACAGAAACTAAGTAGACACTCAGGAACAGGCTGTCTGTCCCCATTCTCACAGCCTGGACCTCCATGACACTCAACATCTGGATTTTGTTGAAACGTTGTGTTCTTTTGAAGAAAATTCACTATATAAATTCACACATTAACATGCTGTGTATTTGTTGTGTTTAAGTTTACTCAACATGAGAACCTTGATTTACATCCCGCAAACACAAATACAAAACCTTTCATTTCAGTGCAGATTATAAAACAAACAAGAGGTGAATTAACACAACCTGTAGGAGCCATATTGAGGTGTATATGATGTTTCTTTCTTGTGAATAGTAGTGAGTAATATGGCCACAGGTCTGTTTACCCCACCTAGAGGACGGTTGGGAGGCTGAAGTTGGAGCCCAAGGAAAGGCTTTAAAGACAGGAAGACACAGCAGTGGGTTTGTCCTGAGAGGGAAACAGTCTTTTGACCGTGTGGTGGAGAGACGTGAGGGACATGACGTGACAAGCCGTCTCCCACCATATAAGAGCTGCTTCAGTTTAATTGTTTGTTATTTTCACCTCATGTTTTTGGTTTGTACATTCTTTATACATTAAGAATAATAAATGGTCATTGCACCGAACCGGATCAACTTCTACTCCTCATCTTTACAAACTGCACGCGTCAAGATATATGCAGCTCAGCCACCGGTAGAAGCTGATCAGGGAGTAAAGGGACGAACGGAAAAGGCTTCTACAGAACCAGTTAAACTCTTTGCCTCATCAAATAGGCCCACAGCAAAAAGGAGAAACAGAGACGTCTTCAGATCGCAGAGAAGTGCTACAATTGAGGAACTTTCAGGAACGTGTTTGAGCAAGATAACAAACTCTATATTTAACCACATAAAGAAGGTTTGAAACCTAATGAAGTGTTAGATGTCACATGATCTGAACTTCTCAGAAAAGCAAGCAGTCACATGCTTACTGCTCATATCCGTAGCTACATGGACCTGCAATGCATTGTGGTCCACCGTCCCCTGATGGTGCAGACACTGTTGGCTATGCTGTTTGATTGCTTTCCTTCATCCTGAGACTTGAGCAAAGTTTAGTTGTAAATAATGTACCTTCCTCCTCAAGTAGCTCACCGTCACTGGTTAGTGAGAAGGAAAGGAGACGACATTAAGGGGTCCTGTTGTATAAGAAATCACATCAATGATTTATTACAAATACAAAACATGCTCTAAAATATAATTAGTCCGTCTCTGCAAATGATCACATGACAGAATATTTAGTCCGACCGCTGAAAGATCAAAATGACGAGCTTTATGATTCCCACAACTTTCTCTACGACTTGAGCACCAACTCGTTCATACTGTTGATCACCTGCAACACAACAGCATGGTCACCTTCTACTTCAGGGAACATTTTATGACTTTAAAACATCACAAACCAATATTTCTGCTGCTGGAACCTTCAAATTACCCACAATAATACAATCACATTAAAGTGATGATCCTGTGCATGAGCATCCCTCTGCTGGTGGCCTCCAGTTGTACTGATGACCACCTTAATGTCCTTTGGACGGTCTGGAAGATTCGGCTTAACGGGATACTTTGCACTAATGAGAAAACCATTAGAATTTCCTTTAACAATGTTCCATCTCAAGACTTTAGATAATGGTGAAATACTTGTTTTTAAAGTTGTATTTCACATGTGAGAATCCTCTAGACTCTGACTAAATGACTTCCCCTGTTCTTGAACGTCCTCAGAATGTATTGAGTGTCAGACGCTCCCCACTTCTCCTTATTCATCTGTTAGAGCCACAAAGCTAAATAAAGGTTTCTCACCTCACTCAGAGTCTTAACACCAACTAAACATGGGAAAACGTGACAAACGAGAGGCAGGTACTTTTCATTTTGGTCGTCTTGTACTGAATAAAATGTCCTCCTGAGAATGATTATTGATGCATTATTAACTGGACTCCTGCTCTTGTGCATTTATATTTATTTCAATAAATGTCTTGTTTTGTAATTTCAGAAACAACAGTTATGACATGAACTGTTCTGTAAGATTACATCAAATATGAAACCATATTCTCTCCAGGCTTACAGGAGGATGTGCTCTTCTTTCCTATTTACGCATTAATTAATTATTCTTTATGTTCCATCTTGTTAAAATGATGCTCTTGCTTCTACAAAGTGTAGATGTTGTGTGTTATTTTTACTTTGAGTGAGATGATGGTGTTCATCAATAATCTGCATGCACCTGTGAGCTGATTGTGTGTGTGTGTGTGTGTGTGTGTGTGTGTGTGTGTGTGTGTGTGTGTGTGTGTGTGTGTGTGTGTGTGTGTGTGTGTGTGTGTGTGCAGGAGTACGGCCTAGAAGAACGTATACAGAAATGTGCCGGGCAGAATAATTATACTAATAATGTAATAATATTTTTTTTTTTTTTAAATAATTTTTAAAAAGGCTAACAACACATTGGTTTAAAAATGTATTTATTTAACAACAGAAATTAAAAAAAAAATTGATAAAAAAACAGAAAACTGATTTTGTCAGTCAATAAATGCACGTTGGTCTTGTATGAACAGTTGTTCAGCTGAACTAATAGTTTCACAAAACCTCATCGTGTTGCAGCTTCCTCCTACATCACTTGTAGCTCTACGTTCATGTTAATACTCTTTATTTAGTTGGTGTCGCTCATGTTGAATAGTTACTTCCCCAAAAGAATCAAGGAGTCTTTGGTAAAGTCTACTTCCCCTTCTTAAATTTACCCGGCGTCGCTTCTGTCTTTTG